TTCAGTCTCATGTTCTCTGCCATGCTGATGGTCGCCTACCGTGATGATTGACCCGGGATCCGCATCGCCTACAGGACGGACAATCACCTCCTAAATCAACGGCGGATGCACTTCCAATCGCGCGTATTGTAGTGGTCAATGACGTGAGATCAACTTAAACCACTTACAATAATTTTGCTCCGTCTAGGGACAGAAGCCAGGATTTTGTGAGAACGGGTTTATTCTGTACACAGAGCAGGTCGCCGTAAGTTATCTGTATGCTTGTGGCAGAGATAAGCGTTCGTTCTGGAGAACGTCAGTTCCGGAGCCTTCAGTGTGTCCCTACCACCAAAAAAGTTGTGTCCTCTGTGCCTCTGTCCTGTCTGTTCAAAATCACGTCCGCAAGGGCGGCGTCCCGTGTGTGCACTTGTGGCCAATCAGCGATAGGAAGTTGCGTTGATTGGCTCCGAGCCCACGCGAAGGTGGTGGCAATCCTCGCATGGTGCAGGCAGAGAGTCGACCAAATGCGTTGGTGCAGACAGTAAATTGCAACGAGACAAATCGAAGCCGGGCAGACGTGCGTGCCATAGCAGGCTGCCGCTAGAACGTAGATGCAGGTGCTAGCGAGAGGCGCGACGTAACCATTATGGCTATCCACTACAGTATCCACAACCACCGTCCACATGACGAAGTCGCTCGCAGGATCTCGAAAGCCAGTCAAGCCTTCGGTCGCCTCCAGAGCACAGTTTGGAATCGCCATGGTCTTCAACTGAGCACGAAGCTGAAAATGTACATGGCTGTCATCCTGCCGACGCTGCTTTACGGAGCGGAGACTTGGACGGGAATCCTCAGCATCTACACCATGCTGAGACAAATGCTGCTGCGCTGGAGCGGCCACCTGGTGCAAATGGACGACGAGCGACTACCCAAACGACTCTTCTACGGAGACGTCGCGAGGGGTTCTCGCCGTCAAGGATACCAAATTCGCCGATACAAGGATGCCCTGATGTCCTCCCTGAAGCGTCTAAAAATCAGCCCGACCAACTGGGAAGAGCTCGCCCTCGACCGACTGACCTGGAGGAGGAGAGTGAAAACAGGCGCTGTAATCTACGAAGCCAACCGCATCGCTGCCGCCAAAGTGAAACGCGTAGCACGCAAATCGCAACTACGCCCAATATGCAACGCCAACGCACAACCGCTTTCAACGGGTCCTCGATGTCAACGGACATTCCGGGCGCGAATTGGCCTTGTTGGACATCCTGGGATCAACTGCACCTCTCGGACCGCACCAACAGTCGTCCCTCCGCCCGCCTCTGACTACTCTATTGACACGCCATCTCTAACCTCCTCCTCCTCCTCCTCCTCCTCCTCCTCCTCCACTGCCCAATCTACGGCCACTCTGGCGGCCGTCACGCACGACAACACCGCACACAACCCTGTCACCACAACAGACACCACCCATCCAAACCCGACTACAGAAGTGAGGACCAGGACTACACATGCCCTCACTGCGAACTCACCTTCACCTTACACATCGGCCTAGTCGGTCACTTGCGAATCCATCGCACAGAGACTGGCGAACCAGTGCCCGGAGCACCAACTTAATCCCGCCCTCGGTTCCACTGCCCACACTGCCCACGCACCCTCACCCATCGCATGGGTCTATTCGGCCACATGCGCATCCACGAGAGCGGAGTTGGTGAGATCGCAGTTGGTAGCCAGGAATGGCAATGTACGTTGATATTGACGACGTACTTATTTGTTATCAGTAGGCGTGCTTATTTTGCCTGGGAAATTGATTATCAGTAATTTGCTTCTACTGCGTGAGGTAAGTCGGACATTTTTGGTGTGGGTGATGGGTTTGGTGTGGCTTACGGTTAGACGTAGGCTGGGTTTTAGGATTAGGGGTTTGCTTTGCAAGGTGACGGTTTGGCTTTAGGGTTGGGGTTCGGCTTTAGGGTTAACGGTTAACGATTAATGGTTAGGGTTAGGATCAAGGTTATCGTTAAGGTTAGGGTCAAGATTAAGTTTAGGGTTAGGGTTGAGTTTACCGTTATGGCTTAATTTGGGTTAAGGTTAGGGTCTCGGTTACGTTTTACGTTAAGTTTAGGGTTAGGGTTAAGTTTAGGACTAAGGTTTGAGTTAAGGTTAAGGTTAGGGTTATGGTTAAGTTGTTAAGGCTAGGGTTAAGGTTAGGGTTCGGGCTAAGGTTTGGTTTAAGTTTAGTGTTAATGTTAGGGTTAAGGTTAGGTTTAATGTAAATGTTAGGGTTGAGGTTAGGGTTAGGGTTAAGATTAGGGTTAATGTTAAGGTTAGGGTTAAGGTTGTGTTTAGGGTTAAGGTTAGGGTTAAGCTTTATTTTATGGTTAAGGTTATGTTTAGGTTTTAAATTACGGTTAGGGCTGATGTTTACCTCACATGTTTCCGCCGGGATTTAGGTTCCTGCCCTGAACATTACCGTTCGTCCTCACAGCGGCTTTTCTGTGTTTAGGTTTTCGATTGATGATTGTCAGTCATGACGTTACGTTCGGTTTTCTGTGACGCTGTGCAGATTGGTCTTCACATTCACGGCTTAGTTTCTATTGGTTCCCTGGGCTCCACGGTTTTTTTCAATTTTTGCCTTCCTTTACACCGCATTAAAACTTTCCCATATTTCTTCGGTTAGCTTACCTTTTCGTCCGAAACTACCGTACTTATATAATTGTCCTTCCATTTGCCCCACCCGTATAACCCCCCTTCCCACCATTCCCGTACGACAGAAATCCTCCTATCCGTCTACCTATTCCTGGCTACCAACTGCGATCCCACCGCCGAATTGACCGCTCTCCCGACTCACCCATCACGCCAAACCCCACTGCCACTTCATCACCCAAAGAGCGCACCACCGTCATCGCGGCTGACACCGGCACCGCCGACTTCACCTGCCCACACTGTCCACGCACATTCACCTCTCGCATCGGCCTGGTCGGCCACTTGCGAATCCATCTCACAGAGACTGGCGAACCAGTGCCTGGAGCCCCAAACTATACCCACCACGCTCGACTCAACTGCCCACGCTGCCCTCGCACTTTCAGGCATCGCATGGGTCTATTCGGCCACATGCGCATCCACGAGAGCGGAATTGACCGCAATTCCGACACACCCACCACATCCATCCCATCCAACATGCCCAACCCCATCCTCGCTCCATCGCCCTGCTCGCCCATCACCACCGTCACCACCGCCTCCTCTGTAGCTGACACCGACACCGTCGACTTCTCATGCCCAGACTGTCCACGCACATTCACCTCACACACCCGCCTGTTCGGCCACCCGCGAATCCATTGCACGGAGACTGTCGAACCAGTGTCCGGAGCAACAACAGACACTAGACACACTCAATTCAACTGCCTGCACTGCCCGCACACATACGGCCCTCTATGGGCCTGCTTGACCACATCGCATCCATTAAAACATACGATAGACAACCGCCGACTATGCCAAAGCATCACACCTCTACCCACCAGCGCCTGCAGCACACATCAGGACCCACAATTACACAACACAAGCACGTAATTTACTCCTCTCACGAAAGTAGACAGTATACACGTCGGCTCCTTTTTCATGTGGCTCCTCTGCTGCATGTGTGATCCGAGCATGAGACTGTTACGGTGTGCCAAACGCCTGGACTTGGAGGCTGCCAGCTGACGCCTCAACACAGTCCGTGCAGACTGCCCAGTTTTGCGTGTTTGTGCGGAGGGGCGGACTGGTGGGTTGAGAGTCAGGCTGGCAGGCGTCATCGGGAATGTGCACCCATAATGAATGCCAATATTCGGGGTGCGATGGCAGACCCAGTTGCAGGCCCACGTCTACTGCCAGTTCGGATCCCCGTAGTCCTCCATTTTTTGTTGCTGGTTAAAATCCAGGTCAAGTGTTTATTGTGGACCAGGGGGTGTGGAGTGGCACGCCAGGTGCGGGTCCGGTTGCGCCCTCCACCTGCTCCCTCCCTCCCTCACCTTCGACCTTCTTGACTATGGCTTGACACCCGGACCAGGTTGAGGGTGGGGGGTGGGGCGAGAGCGAAGAGTGCGATCGGTGCTGCGCAAGTCTACTATCTTTATAAACTAATTCACGCACAAGTCGTCATGACTGATCCCACCCTGCTGTAGGCACACGATGGACATCGTCGACAACGATGACCTAACTGTTGAAGCAGTGCGATTTGTCTGCACTGAGTCATGAGCAGAATGCCGCAGTTAGACGCGCATAAAAGTGTCATCACTTGCCGACCATCTGATGGATCCCGTCATCTAATTTAATTTCACGGGCATCTTCTGGGAGTGCAGAAGATGCATCCTTTAGATGTAGGAGTCCCGACATCGAGAGGCAAAATCAAGCGTCTTTTCAATATCTTGCTCTCATGTCAAGCTTTATGCAGATAACTTCAAAAGGCAAACAAACGACTCTCCGGTCAAATCCGGATAGAAACTTGGCACAGTTTTGACTTCTAAAATGCAACCGTCTTAGGCCGCGGCATCTCAAGAGCAGAACGTCTTACACTAGAGACTTGGTACTCCGATACCAACTTCATCAACGTGCGTCTAGACACTCCTGCAGCCTATAAATCCTACGTCAGTGCATGCGCCATGACCCGGGCAAGGCGGTCACATGGAGATTTAGAATAAACAGCAAACACGGCCCGTCGACTAGCTTACTCAGAAGGGGGGGCACAAACGAAACCAACCCCAATTTCAGTGGCAACACACGACACAGGATGGCCAGAGGGCTAAGGCAGCCAAAGAAGATAAAAATCGATCAACCTAAGGCCAACTAGATCGGCCGTCTATTCAAAATTCTGGTCGATTTTTGCA